CCTCTACCCTCAACATATTTGACAAGTCTTCTCAGATAGTGTGTTCTAAGTTTATAATACTTCTTTCTAACAGGGCCCAGCCAGTAATATTATCTTTTATAGCGGTAGAGTAGCCCCGCACAATATATAGTTTGATATATTTCTCACCAAAATAGATATTGTCCAGAAGCCTGTTTAGTATTAATCTAGGTGTCTTGTTCTGTAAGTATTCTTCTAGTTACTAATAATTTTTCTCCCTTATCTGTATTCTGTGAAAGAGGGCTACTGTCATCTATATAGTTTATAGATATAAAAAGTCTGAGTTTCTTACCAATATAGAACAGATTTCCCTATATTAAAAGCTGTTTTTCTATAGATTTCTAATCAATATTGGTACCGTCAAAATTTTTATTCAGATTAGATTGTCCACGTTCGTTTACAGATACTCTGACTATAGTATTATCTGATCTTACATATTAATTGCGATATATTTTTTTATATATATATTTTTAGTATCCTGTGTTATCTTTGTCTAGTGTAAATTGGGTACTATAGCCAGATTCTGTTCAGTATTCTTCAGCACAGTTCAATTGTTCAGAGTTATCTTCCACTCAATAGTATAATAAATACAAGACTTTTCTCTATACTGCCTTGTAGCCCTTTCTTCAGACTCCTGGAAGAAATCCAGATAATTAGACTGGGATTGATACAAGAGAGTATAAGGTTTATAAAGTACATATTCAGATAATGGGCAAAATACAGATAGCATACATTCTCTACCGAAGTCACCAGAGATAGGGGCATATAATAGTGTTTGTATCCACGAATCAGGCGGCTGAAGCTGAGAGACATTGTCATCATAGTAAGGACTAAATATCATCCCCTCAAGGCAGTAGATGCAACTGAGGAGCCTAGTATTGGGACTATCATATATTAGCCTACACCATATAGGTGTTCCAGCAAGAGTATCCGTGAGAGAGGAGGTGCAGCTGGCAAAACCAGTAAAATAATCAGGTTTATGGACGATAAACTTAGATAGGTACAGTATTATAGATCTACCTGTCTTGGTTAATCTGGTAAAAGAATCAACTGTGGCTCAGTACAGAAAAAGGAATATTAACAGTTTGCGGCAAATGCAAGGCACTGCTTTGGCTTGTTTAACGTGTTTACAATATAGAAGCTTCCAGCTCCCATGGTTTACTCATACAAAATCAATACACTATTCTTGTAATATTACCGTTCATCACAATACAACCAAAATGTCCGGAACATTATTGTTACGGCCACCTTCCTTATATAGAATAGCGTGCTTGGTATTAGGGTTTGAAAAACAATCAGAGTATAGGGGGATGACAGCAGTTTCGACTCCAACTGTGGGAGTTTACTTCACTGTTCCCGAGGCATCAACAGGGATGTGGTGAGAAAGCTCTCCGACATTTCATCTGTACGGATACATTACCAACACAAGGATTGTAATAGTACTGATGAGTATGAACAGCATACAGTTGGAAGTTTCACCAAGACCACTAAATTACAAATACGGGTACAATATACAGGGATGCAAAACGAACCTCTTCTCCAACCTCGAGCATGTAGCTCAAGAACTGATGAAAAGGATATCTCTCGTAGAGAGAAGAGTGCCAAAGAATACGCCTGTCAATGACCCGAAGGCCGTTGAACGGATTGTTCCACCGCGCTGTGCAATGCAGGGACCAATCCGTGGTGGACCGCCTTCTTGATCGCAGCCACCCAAACAAGGTAAGTATGAAGAAAAGAAAGAAGGAAAAATTCAAAAGATGGTCGGGGGAGGGAGGCTTTTATGTGACGGGTGGGGTCACCGGAAAGCGCGCTAGTGTAAGCGAGGTGACTTTCGTATTATGTGATTGGTTGCTGACTAAAGGGGGCTGTTGCTGCCTCAGGTGTCGTTAATCCCTCGCTATAGCTGCATTGGAGCATTTCACCAAATTGTGGGAAGCTGTCGAAGTCTGAATGAAATGCAGGTTCTTGTTCCTGGCACCGTGTTGAAGTATGCAGGGGTACTACAATTGACATTCATTGATTAAGACAACAATCTTCATGATAATTATATTGAAGCACCGCTTTCTATAGCAGTTATGATCATCAGTTAATACAAGGAGGTGCCATATTCAGGGCACGCAAGAAGTACATGAATTGCTACTACCACATAGGCATCATAAATGGAAAGCGTGAAGTCCATACGTTGGACCAATCTAAATTATGCTACTGTAAATCAGACCCACGGAGTTCACTCAGCACTAAGAGCAAGACATGCGTCTACTGCTAGACCAACCCTGTGAAACAATGTAAGCCACTTTCTTTTTGCCTCAAATGTGCGCCAATGATGGTAAAACACTTACCTCCCCTCCTTCATCTTGACAACATCATCAATGACGTCGCGGTCTAGATTTGGGAACATGTTCGATAATGTCTCCACCATATTGTTGTGCTCAACACGTTGAATCCTCCGTGCTTCGGCGTCCTCCGCACTAGCCTGTCGAACAGCAGCATCTTGTGCACTATGGGTCCTAGCCCGCCGTGGCTGTGATGCATTGCGGGACCGCTCGCCAGATCGTCGCTCCTCGCCACTGTTACGAGGTGGCTGGTAAACATTTGGATTGAGTCGAGGCGAAGGGCTAACTGGCGAGGTCGTCGCTGGCTGTGTCCGTCGTTCCTCTGGCGAATCTGACTCGTCAGAGAAAATTCTTCCAATGGTAGACAGCGGCTTCTGAATAGTACGCAGGAGCCCGGCTACTGGGGCGTTGTCTTCATCGTTGGATTGTGTCGCCTCTCTCCGGCCCCGTGGGACATCCACCGAAGACCTTGGTGTAGACTGTGATCGTTGGGAAGACTTCGGGTCTAGCGACTCCGACTCGCGATTTTGTTGGGCGATGGCTGAGACGGCAGCTTCAACATTTCGCTCGAAGTCTTCGTCACTCACTGTCAAGCTCGTTCTGTCCAGGGTCTCAATGAACTGGATAGCGCCAGACTATATACCAGTCAGTTACTCGCTCAATCTGCCGAGCTTTGTATTATATAGTTTACCAGGGAGGACAAGTAGTATCCAGCCTCTCCTCCGAGCTTGTCCTGATTGCGGAAGCGAAGGATATATTGAATGTTAGAGACCAAGTGCTCCGGATTGGCATGTAGCACCACATAAATCAGAAGTGGTACAAATGAGTCGGCTGAAGTATCAGATGATTTCGAATTCTTCAGGAGACCTTGTAGTATCCTTGTGAGTTAACGCCCACACATATAATTCTTAGACAGTCACTCACCAAAGATGACCTTGCAGCAGTTCAAGATACAGATGACCTTATCACGGGGTGCCCGGTAGCTGTTAATCTTCGAGAGTTCTATAATCGATGTCAGTAATATATCTATGGTCGAGACGAAGGTGTTCTTACCTTGTTGGGCGAGAGTTAAAAAGCGACGACCATGAGAACCTACTGGTGGTATGTCAAGATGCGCCTCTCTTACCCAACTGTAAATACGGATCTTCTGGGCCAGCACCTCATCCCGCTCAATATCTTCCTGGTGCTGACCGCGTCTCCAAGGACCATGAATTCTCTCCATTTCTCTTCGTTTGCTCCGACTTGTACTTCTTGGAATGGTGGGCGGGGAGGGAATGGCCGGGGAAAACGTTTGCGAATACAGTCTGTTCATGACAAGCTTTTCCATTCCTTCTTTGGCATTGTCAAACTCGCCGTCCGAGACATCACGCCAAACTTCACACATGGCCATCTTGTTAGTGATGAAAGCTAGAAAATCGCTGATAATCTTAACTTGCTCATGAACCATCCACTGTCGTTTCCCAAACTCATGGAGGAACGACCGTAGGAACTTGGCCACCGGATCAGCAGTACGATGTCGCAGTTGTTCCAGGAACCGATGAAAATCGAAAGGTTGATCAGGCTCTGGCTCTGGTGGGGGAGGTAAAGTCGATGTGGACGAGCGCCGAGTTAGCGCGGGCTCTTCTACAAGAGATCTTCTGTGCACGCTTATAGAGCTCGTGGCAGGTTGTTTCTCGGGAGAAGTAGATGAAGCTCCCACTTTGACGTTTGAAGCCTGAGCGCCCTCGCCTACTGCCTTTGTTTGATCAAGGCTAGATTGCCGAGGAGGAAAGTGACCTTGTCCACCAAAGAATTGCTCAGCCAACTCCAGTCGAGGTGACATTATCTGCTCCTCACTATCGCCATGCGCAGTATCCTGGAATTGCTCCATGATGCTTTGAATCTCCGGTTGGGAGACATCATCTCGACCAGCCCCGCCATTATCAGCCCCTTTCCCCCGCTCAGGTACTTCCGGTAGTTCCTTTTCAGTCCATTCGGAGGATGTTTTTGTTGATAATTGGGAAGTGGGCGCAGGCTGAGGTTTCTGGTTAAGATATGCTTCGTCTTTCTCCGGTGGAGGAGGGGGTCGATCGGTGTTCGGCGACGGTGAGCGATCTAAGGCGTTTGTAGATATTGACAATCCCTTCATCCGGTCCGGAAGCGACTCTTGTTGGGTAGGTGTTGTGCTCGGCGGATCGACAACAGGTGTAGTTACTAAAGGTGGAGACTCTGTAACTGCACCCTGCGGGTTGTCCTGTATATCTGCGTCCATATTGGGTTGCTTCAAATCCTCGGCATCCTTCGGATCGGTGAGCGGCTCATCCTGCGATTCTCCAGCGGGCTCGAAATTCGCCGATGTCACCTGTTGCTCTAGTCGGTGCCCCTCATCGTGAGAATTTGAGGAGATCTCCCCTTGTCCACTAGGAGCCGGGGAATCCGAGGGTTCTGTGGCAGACATAAGCCAGCCGCATACACGCTTATAAACTAATAGATTAAGTCGCTGAAGTGAACGTTTTTTAGAAGAAGACACTGAGCATTATGATATAAACATCCAGGTCGAAGCTGTTATCAAACTGTCAAGGACCAAAGCAAGAAGTGCCGAGACAGCGGGTGTAACGGAATCGGCGGGGAAAGTATTACGGTAACTAGTATTGTATTGTTAATAAGCCGCCCCCAGCAAAGGTGGATTTAACAGAACGCACTTGCTGTTATCTCTGGTAGTTGTCAGAAAATCATCGTAAGTGTTGAGAGTATAACGGATTGCCCGCACGTCACCGCCGGGGTCACGGTTCCCCCGAGGTCCGGCGCGAGTCAATTCATTTCTGTGTTACTAAGTACACTTGAGAAACACCCCCCTCCTCGTTCGCGGCCGGAATGCTACAATGTGTGGCATATTCTTGTCCCTAAGCGCCTCTAGGCCTGTACTTCCTAATGAGGAGACATGCTGTTTATTGCGCAAACGGGGGCCGGATAGCTTCCAAGTTCAACAAGTTCAACGTGGTGTCAACACAGATAAAACAAGACCTGTACCGATTTTCCTTACCTTTGTCTCGACAGTTCTTTCAATGAGGGGCGACCAAGTCGTCGCTCAGCCTCTCGTGGACACCACTACGGAATCCGTACTCTGCTGGAATGGCGACGCCTGGAAAGTTGCAGGTGAACCCATTCGAGGTAATGATACCCAGTTGATATTTAATCTACTACTACAAGCTGCGAAGCCATCTTACAATTCAGGATCACCCAGTGCCCTTGATGATGGAAGTGCTGTCCAGAGAGTTGTGGATGTTATTAGTAGTATTTCCGGGCCTTTTTCTTTTGTCTTCTATGATGCTGTCAACGCAAAACTATACTTCAGCAGGGATTGTCTCGGGAGGCGGTCCCTGCTTCAAGGCCTTGATGAAACTGGGGCTTTCAAGATCTGCAGTCTCTGCGATGGGACGTCGTCCACCCACTTCGATGAAGTTGGCACAACCGGTGTGCATATGATTGATTTCACACACACTGTCATGCAGGATTCGCTTACGTCTGACACTGGTACTACTCATTTCAAACCTGACAGCATACAAACACTACCATGGGAGAACGTAGATTCTCCTGGTCATCTGGTAGGTATGTCCTTCTGATCACTACGCTTGTAATCCATACTCATGATCATGCAGAGAAACCCAATTCCTCCCATGAACAGGTCTGTCCCGCAAGACGTCCCTCCTCGACTGAGCGTTGAGTCCCCTTGCGTGAATGAGCTTGAGCAAAGACTTCGTACGTCTCTTGCACTCAGAATCCAAAATGTACGTGATCCCCCGGGTTTCACTACAGAAAGCAACGCAAAGGTTGCTGTGCTGTTCTCTGGAGGGCTTGACTGTACCATCCTCGCTCGACTGTCGCATGAGCTTCTACCGATCGACGAGTCAATCGACTTGCTCAACGTCGCCTTCGAAAACCCGCGTGTAGCAGCTGCAGCGATCAAAGAGGCGAAAACAGGCTCAGTATATGAAAACTGCCCCGACCGAATCACTGGCCGCGCAGCCTTTGCAGAACTTCAAGCCGTTTGCCCCAGCCGTAACTGGCGCTTTGTTGCAATCGACATACCTTACGTGGAGACAGTTGCACATCGTGACACAGTGAAACGCCTGATGAGGCCGCACAATACAGAAATGGATCTATCCATTGCATGTGCACTCTACTTCGCCTCACGTGGACAAGGATCTGCTCTGGACAGCCACAAAGGTAACGCCGAGCCGCAACATTATGCAACCCCTGCCAGAGTACTCTTATCAGGCCTGGGAGCCGATGAGCTGTTCGCAGGATACGCACGACATGGCGTGGCATACTCACGCAGCGGGTTCGAGGGGCTCATTGACGAAATTGACCTGGATGTCAGTCGTCTCGGGAAGCGCAACCTAGGTCGCGACAACCGGGTGATAGCACACTGGGGCCGCGAAGCACGATTCCCATACCTCGACGAAGACTTCGTCTCGTGGGTCGTGCAAGCCCCCGTCTGGGAAAAGTGTGGCTTTGGCCTCCCAGAACCAGAAAGCGATGATTCTACAAAGACCACGACCGGCATCGACCCAGAGAAGCGCGCCCTTCGCCTAGTAGCCCTCAAACTAGGGATGTCGAACGTGGCGCGAGAAAAGAAACGAGCCATCCAGTTCGGCTCGCGGACAGCAAAGATGGAAAAAGGTAGAGTGAAAGGCACCGACGCCCTCAGCTAAATAAAACTTTCCAACTTACAACACAACACACTTTTCCTCTACCCATAAACAACAACCTTCTTCCCTGCCACACTCCCACAGCCAACCCACCCCAAACCCAAAACACATCAGTGATGACAAAATCAAGGAATCAGATACTTCTGAGTTCACACCTCATCTAGCCTCAAACCACCCATTTCTACCATCCACCCAGCATCAAGTGACGTGCAATTTTCCTTGATCTCTAGACCGTGCTCATCCAGCCTCCCCTGTCCCTAGACTCACTCAAGCCAATGTGTGTGTATTTGTTCTTAGAGCGGTAAAGAGACCGCCTGCTCATTATTGTTCCGCCTTCTGCATTGGGTATCAGAGCGAAGGTACAGGGCATTAATGGGCTCGGATGGTTCTAACCCGTATACATGACATTGAGATCGAGCACTTTGGGGCAGGTGGGTGTGTTGGTGGGTTGGTCTTATGGATTGAGAGGTTGTGTGTCGGTTTTGCTTGGTTGTATGGCTCTAGATGATATTGATGGTTCTGTTTGAGAGAGGTTTGGACGGTGAAGTTTTAAAAGGCAAGTCTGAGCTGTGTTCATAGTGGTTTTTGTTTGCTTTTCTTGTTATGGAACATCGCTATGAGGCCATGTTCCATGTAGATTGCCTATCCTCTTACATGGCCTAGATTATGCATGTCGATCGTCTAAGCTAGAGTAGGCATTGGTTTAGATTGCTTGCGGGTCGTTGCATGCGTACTCGAAACTACTGACTGATCTACTTTGGGAGAACTATTCGATGAGCAAGATTGATGGATTCGTAGATGATCTAATACACGTGAAATCACAAGCATCAAAATATCCAAGTTGCCAAGCAAAACATCCAAAGAATTAGTAGCCACGAGTCAATCCTGCGAAGCAGGAGACATCAGAACCGGCTATTGCAAAATAATGAAACATCAGAAGCCCATGAGTGAACTAGAACAATGAGCAAAAGATAGATAGCCAATACTGGCAAGAAGTAGAGATAATCAAGACAAAGCGGTCCGAAAGTGCTAACACATGACCATATGGTAAAAAATGACAATAGAAACTTTTATCCTGTCGGAAGTCACTTCACCAGTGACCAGTTCCAGGCACTAGTGAGTGCATCCGACATCTGGGTTGACGAGAGGCTCCAAGCCCCCGCCCACCGCAGAACCCATTCATAACAGAACTTGCAGAAACAGCATGATATATCAAGTAACAAAAAACCGACTTTTACATCACTTAGGCCTTGTTCTGAGCAAGGGCCTTCCAGTATTGCTCACGACGTTGAGCCTCTTCGAGCGACTTCTCCAACTCATCAATCCGGCGCTGCATCTCTTCCTGACGCTCAAGCTTACGGGCGCGAGACTTACGAGCCGCCTCGGTATTGCGAGCACGCTTCATGGCCACTGGGTCATGAGAATCAAATTTGATCGGAGGCAGAGGCTTCCTTTGACGTGCGTTCACACCAGCCACGGTAGAGTGCTTGGTGACTGAGCGAGTGGAGGGAGACGTAGCACGGGACGATGTGGTACGGATCATAGGAGATGCTGGGGTGACATCAGCCTTGACCTTGGGCTGCGACAGAGCCGCAGCAATGTCAAGGGTAGTGGTGTCAAGACCCAAGGAGAAATCGTCCTGGGAGGGGAAGAGAGAACCCCACTCCTCAACCCCAGGGCCTAATTCCATGTCCGTAGCGAACATGGGGGAAGTGTCTTGGCTGAAGTACCCTGGGGACTCGAATGAGGGAGTGCTCAAATCAGTGAAAGAGGCCGAGGGAGGAGCCGAGGCATCCATGAACAGATCCTTGGGAGAGATCGTGCCAGATGGCAGATCTGCCAGAGAATCGGGACCTGTCATGACGCCGGCAGTCATCTGCTGAGGGGAGAGCATAGTGGACTCCGTAGTGGGGATCAAATCGTCCCCGAAGCGATCAGCGTGAAGATCGAAGAGATCGGGGAGATCTGACGGATTGTTAACATGTACCCCTTTATGGAAGTGGAGCAAGGGCAGCCATAGCTCACCTTGAGCAATATTGGGAGTAGACATTATACGACGGTGATTTATCGGGATTTGTTGCCGTTTCTGATAGGTGGAGCTGGCGGGACTGTTGAATAGGGGAACGGGCGGGCGATTGGGATACGCAGAATTCAGAACTGCAGGTGGAGAATTCGAAGCAACAGACGCTGCGTGAAGACGCAAGAGGTGCTTCCTAGTGGAGGGACTAAACCGATGAGACGAAGACAGAGGGAACCCGGTAGACTGCGAGGCAAGTCTGGTCAAGCGGGGAACCTGTACTGGCGAGGCTGAGAGCTGCTGCTGCTGACGTTGCTGCTGCAAACTGAGAGTGTGTCGTCGAGAAAGGTGCCCAAGACGGACCAGAGATGGATGATAGGCAGGATATCTAGGGGTTGTACTCAAGGGTACTGGCGCACGAGAGTCCCTGGGATGCTGGGAGGGATATAGCACAAAGTCCTCCTGTAGGGAGTTGGCACTGTTGTTGTCGTTGTTGGAATTCAGATTCTGAGCCGTAGGCTGCGGGGGCGGGGGTGTAGGGAGCCATGTTTGCTGATGGTGATCCGTGTTGAACGACGTGAAGTCGAACGTTGAAATGTTGTTCAAAGAACTTGAGCTACCCGAGGTGGTGCTAAAGTTCAGAGGTCCTGGGACAGGAGACTCTGAGGGGTGGGATGAAGATATATTGATAAAAGACGAAGTCCGTTGAGGATCTATGATGTCTGTCTCACGAGAGATAGACGAGCTCTTTCCTGGGGAGGGATTTAAAAAGAGGCCATTTTGGAACGCTTCTTGATATTCTAGTTCTTGTTCAGTATATGGCTGTATGATGACGGTTTTAAAATTATATGTAGTTGTGGTGTAAAGAAGAGAAGAGATGGAAAGGAAGAAAAAATAAAAAAGAGAACCCAAGGCAACGATGGGAAATCAGGCACTTCTTAAACGCAGTGTGTGCGCCCTTCATCCGACAGTCAACCAATCATTGTCGACTGCTTCCCCGCCTACCACACTAACCACATTAGGAATTAGACCAATGGACGCGGTCAGCAGGTGTGAGTCATAAACCCTTCCGAGAATCTGATTGGTCTCCTCGTCCACTAAGTGGATGCCCGGGTGTCCCCAGGCACCGGAGATGCCTGGGGCCGAGTACGAGCAAGATACCTGCACCCACGCAGAGAATGCAAGGTAACCTGAAGTCACTTGCAGGTTACGCAGCGGGTACCGACCCTCGTACTCGGCTGGCTTCTCCACCACTTCCCAGGAAGTGTTTTAGTGCTACAATAGTCTCAGTGTAAGTTGTGTGAGGAGGAGGATGCGGATGATGAAACCGGTTCGCGTCCAGTCTTGCACCCGTCACACCCATTGTCCAATGAGCGTACCGGTCGGGGAAGTCTAGGCATCAGTGCCCGTCTGCGACTGCATCTTGCAGCCTTCACAGCCTCTCCAGGCTGTCTCGGGGTCTGCATTGGGATGCCGCCAGATGGATCCAATTCCCGTCTGAATGGGGGCTGAGCCGCACTTATCGCTGTAAGAGACCTTAGGCTACAGGATCCTACATGATGGGCGAGTTTACAATCATTTTCATGAGCGATCTGGAATCCTGAATGGTTAAAGAGAGGGGGGACTTGAGAGGATTAATAATGTGCGTGGAGATCAATTTCCTTTTTCCACTCCCCGCTATGCGCAGTTAGTTTGGTCGAAGGGCGTGTTTCCAAACTCTATCAGCCCCAATTCTCTTCCGCTTGAGCCGTTTTTCTCTCTCTGCTTTTCTCTTTTTTTTTTCCTTTTCTTCATATTCCGTTTAAAATAAGGGAGGATCATCCATCCAGAATCGAGGAAAAAATCACCCTCATTTGAGGCGCAATTCTCCATACATATGACAAAATTATACGAACCCCAAGAAATCACTATCCGTATCTAAACTTGACACTAGATAGAAACCGTGCACATTTCACGAAAACGATTAGACCATTGCAAAAGTGGAGGTCCCGTTGTTTCGAGAATCCCAATTAGAACTAAGAACCCGAATAGAAAGAAGTTAGTATAAAACCAAAAAAAAAAAAAAAAAAAAAAAAAAAAAAAAAAAAAAAAAAAAAAAAAAAAAAAAAAAAAGAAAAGAAAAAAAGAAAAGAAAAGAAAAGAAAAAAGAAAGAAGACAGAGAAAGGAACACAAAAACTGTCCATTTCGCACCAGCCCTAACTCGGAGAAAACCAATCTACTCCGAAAAAGCATGGCACAATCACCATTGGTGTAGATTGAAATATATTAAATCCATCCCACCAACGACATTGGTAAGAATATCCCAATATGATTTTTAAATCAAATCCGCTATTTATTGTAAACACCGAGTCTATCGTCATCTTATGACCTGACCAGGTGTCGAGTCTAGTCTCAGATAAGAATCTTCACAGGAATCGAGTATTCGCTCGTCTCGCCGAGAGGCGAAAAGTGTATTTCAATTCTGCATGTACGCCGGGCGTATCCGCCGAATACCCTTGCGATAATTATGCGGGAGTCGACTGCGTGTTTTCTGAACCCAATGGCGCACGAATAAGTAGCCATCGTCATCGTGAAACGAGCATAGAGAAGTCCCGAATATAGACGTTGTCATCTGATGTAATAGAACCTTGGTTATTTTCTCGATCATGTGTCCCACTCGGTGTCAAGGAAGCAGGACGCGAAAACAAGTACTGAGTGTTGGATGTCTTCGGAATCCTTACTCTTCGTACCCCCCGCGTATTATTGAGATTGCCTGTGACTTGAAATGACATGTGCTCTAGCTCCCCTCTGATATATATTTACGGTGCGAAGATAAACAAAACACCTCTCTTTGATATGGCAGGAGCGATACTACTATAACCATATGGAGGCACACTAACATTACCTATCGGATACCGTGCTCTAAGCACTCTGCTGTTCGACCAGAACCACCAATTCGTACCAACGCATGCGAGCAAGACCAATGCAATGCGAGGGGCAAACTATGTATATGTCTCATGTATATATAAATAGTGACATCTAAGAATTCTTAGTACACCCATTAGTTCTATATCAAGACACATGCTACACAGAACCCAAATCTGACAGCTAATACGAGAGTGAGTCTCAGATCTAAGAGACCAAGAACAAGAAGAAGAAAGATATAGAAAGTGAACTTGAATTTCTTGGACCCGCGAATCACCTTAGATGTGTTCTAAGTATAATCTGAGATCCAGAGACCAACGGAATGTCTCTGGCGAGAGATTGCACACAATAATAACTCAAAGATATATTTTAACACACCCATCGTAACCCTTTCATTTGACAACCAACAACCAATCTGGATAACGACAAAATTATATATGGAGTACCAGTCATCCGATCCAAATACATAGTGGTATCCGACAGAAACGTATTTGCAAGTTAAGTCATATATATCATGCAAGTGATTGACCCCCGAATGCAATATTAATGTATACAGCTCCACTCTGCATCAGCTCTGTGTAGAACGTGGCATTGGAGGTATCTGTATTCGGTTAGGTGGCGTTCTCCGTAAAGATGACCGCGCTCTTAATTGGACTTGATTAGGGTCATTAAACTAATCTGACGAAAATCGCGGAAACGCA